AATTATTTGAACTGTACATTGGACTAAACATTAGAACATTTCTACTTCACCATCTTCACCACCCTGGGAGTGTTTAAAAAACACAGATATATTTTTGTCTGCTATTTGGACACAACATATTTTCCAAAGCGCGCTCTCTGTCCGCTGGAGGGAGTGTGCTCACCTGTGTGTACGCGCATGTGTGTGTGTGCAAGGGCTGGGTATCGCCACTGATGATTCCCTTACTTGATTCCATTTCGATTCAAGGGGTCTCGATTCGATTCAATTTCCGATTCAATTCGATATCGATTTGACTAGAGATTTTTCTGTTACAATACCAATTTTTGCTCATATGTGAAAGAGATTCTCAGAGAACTAACAGTATAACATTTACAATGAATTATTTTTTAAAAAGAATAAATTCACAACAGGAATAAAACTGAATATTTTATAACTAAATGTTATTTCTAGAGCAGCAACATTAATATTAAAACAGCAAAGTCACAATATAAACTTAATATCTAACTGGAAACAAAATAAAAATATCAATAAAACAAATCAGATTCCTGACATCACAGTACTGAGTGAAGTTTAGAAAGAATAAAGAACACAAACATCAGACAGTATCAGTCCTCCTGTCCTTTCTGCCCACAGAAAGCACATGCTTCCTCTCCCTCTAGAGAAAGAGAAAAAGAGTCACCTGGTTGAAAGGCACTGTCCAGGATTTAGCCAAGTTTCGATGAATCAAAGGATATTACAGTTCCTGATATCCCGTGGGAATCAGATGAGTCACAGAGGTTTTCCAGTTAATACCCATCGCCTGTACAATGGCTAACAGGATGCTTGTTCAGCTGGTGCCCATTTTTCTCCGTCTTTATTGGATGTTTACTGCTGTTTACATTTGAAAACCTAGAGCTGGCTAGCTAGCGGCTGGTTAACTGGAAGTTGGGTTTTACAGAATGCTCAGTTGATTTTCATATCCGCATTAGTGACTCACATGCCACCTCTTCCCAAAGCAAAACAAAACAAAAGATCAGGTAAATAATAACAGCAGATAAACAGTGGTACAAACATACAGGGAAGAAGAAAGTATATTCAGTGAGAGGATTTGAGGAGAAAATTGCCTAATTTTCCAAAAGCTTAACACTTTTTTCAACTGTGCAATCATAGAACCATCTCAAGCTGTCCAATGATGTCATCAGCCCAAAAGCTGTAAACATAGGAATCTTTCCATCCCTCCCATATGTTAGCATATAGGTAATATATGCATTTTTACCGAGCTAATTGTTTGTTTTGGATTTAAAGATGTATCGCTATAACTAGGTGGGCTTGTGCTTGATCATAAAAGGGGGAATAATAATATAGTAACACTGGAATAATGTATTTAAGTTACACTTGTTTCTCACTGGACTAACCCGTTGCCTCTCCCGCAGACGTGGTGTTCTTCATCTATCTTTACCAGCGCTGGATCTATCGGGTGGATCCCAACAGGGTCAACGAGTTTGGCACCAGCGGAGTGGACCACATCCCGAACAACACGGCAGCGGCAGACGCTGCTCCTGCCGCAGCCGCCGCCATCACAGACAAACCACAGGAGGAGAAAAAGAACGATTAAAGCAAGACCCATCCTTATCTGCCTCACTGGCCCTCGCTGCTGGGGCAAAAGAGGACTTGTGGAAATTTAGGCAGGGAGGGGAGTCGTCGTTTAGCTGTCATGGACGCCACAACAAAAAAAATGCAGTTCAACTGTTCCCTCTGATTTCTGTGTGGATCCACAGAGAATCATATTCAGTGTAGACTTGGTAAATTCTTATTTCTGTTCCCCGCCCTCTCGTTTTGCAGTTCAAGTGAAGTTAAACAAAACGTGATGTACTGTATTCTGTATGATTTTTCGGAGGGTAACAATGTCTTGGAGTAGAGGTCGGGAGGGGAACGGGTCGCAGTTATACTACATTTTTTTTATACAGGGAAAAAAGAGGCTACGTGCAGCTTTTTTTTTTCTTTGTGTAGATTCCTTGTGAATTTTTCTTTTCATTCCATGTGAGCACCGTGTTTCGGATTGCCTGGAAACTGGTGAGTAGTGCTGGAGGAAACTGGAAAGATCCTGAGCCACGAAGGGGGTTGAAAAAAAAAGAGAGGTGGTGACTGGAGACGAGACGGACGACCTTACGGGACACTACCCACAAGACAGTGACTACTACCCTCAATTTTAAACAAATGGTTAATGTTCTGAACTTGAACATAAAAAAATAACAGCCTTGTTGGTATTAATATAAATATATTAATATTGTCAATTACTTATTTTTTTGTTTTTCAGTCACTGAAGCATTTTTTTGTATGTCCTCGAACTGTACAGAATCTCAGCTTGTCATGATAATAATACCAATGTCAGATCTGTCTAGCATTAGCTAATTTGCAAGTCTGATTTTAATTTTACCCCCTCAGCCGGGCGTCTGATTTTCAAATTGTTTCATGTTCACGCTCCAAACCAGATCACCTCGACAGACGCGGCGGAGACAGTCAGGTGTGTGCTGGAAGAATTACAGTGTCTCTTGTTTTAAATTTGAGTCCTGTAAATCCTGAAACAAAGATGGTTCCATGTTGGTACATATTAAATTTTGATTCATTCATGTTTATAGTAAAACTTAAGTGTGATTTAAAATATCTATGCAAAGCTTTTTTGATTTTACTCTGGCTTTTATGCACCATTCTGGGTTCAGAAACATTTTTGCATGAAACTCTTTTTTCACGATTTATTTTGAAGTTACAGGAAATACAGTTCATTTATGTGCGTACACAGCATTCACATCGATATGCAGTTCGATCTTATACTCTTTCACCCTGAAGGCTTGAATTATAGATAGCAGCTAATGACATCATTATTGAAAGCAATTGTTTTTCCTGGTGAAAAGCGTTTATTTTTGAAAAACTAAAAGTCCAGAAGTGTCAAAGGATTCTGTTTGCAAAGAATAATGTTCTCAGTGAGGAGGCTAAAACCTGCACATTTTCGATTTTGCTCGGAAGTGTGACTCAATTAATTACAAAAGAAGTAACGTGAAATAATTTCAGCTGTATTTGAGTGTGATCAGTGTACATTCACATGACAGGCATGGTCAAAACGTGGGTGGGGGGTTGCAGTGACTCATGATGTTAAAGATCCAGTGTGTAGGATTTAATGCATCAGCGAAGGAGTTGCGGAAATAAATGAGGGCACAGTCAAACATGAGTGAATGTTGCAATGACGCAATATTCGTGTTGAATGTGGGCATTACCGTTTAGTGACAGACATGGAAAGTTGGCTTGCTTAAAAATTCTGGGGTATGATGTTATAGGTACATTTACAATTTTCTTATGTTCCATACCTGACTCACTGCCAGCCAGCCAGCCAGCCAGGCAGCTTCTCTCATGTGGGCCAGTTTGCATTTTTTAAATGGCCAGTATCCTACAATTTCAACTGGTTAAACATGACAACAGTCCTCCACATACTTCTTTTCTATTGGTTTGGGCTTTGACTCCATCAGTCAACGGTCACCAAAGTTGAACTCCCATGTGATGCAGAAATGCAAATTTGCTTTGCCACCAGAAGCAAATGTTTTTGTCAGGCAAATATTGATTCATGTGCGACCATGCCATGTGTGCCAAGTGTGTAGAAGGGACTTGTGGCTGATAAGTCAATGCAGATGGCCCTGTCTAGAGCCAGTGTTTGGTTTCTCTGTTCTGGGATACTGAGAAACAACATGGCCGACTCCACAAAAAGGGGACCTGCTCTGTATGTAGATATAAACGGCTCGCTCTAAGGTCAGGAATGAATATTTTGTACCATTTCTGCTAATAGATGCCCCTAAATCCTACACACTGGTCCTTTAATCACAAAATAATGTGTGTAACATGAGGCTGAATAGTGGTGTTTGACACCGTTGGCATTCACCTGTACAACTAGGTGTAAGCAGGAGATGTTAAAGGTAGTATCACATTGATATTCCAATATTGACCCAAGCCTCTTAACGTACTGGTTCCCAACTGGTGACCTGCAGGTTGTGTGTGTCTGAGGAGTTAACACAAAGAGTTACTTGATGTGATTGTTCATTTTAATCGCTTTTAGAGTCCTAAAGAGGTACAAAGAAGTAAAACGTTTCATATTTATCAAGAAATTTTCTTTAAATATTAAGGATGTTCTCTAAGGATCTTCTAAAGACACTGACCATGTATAGTTTTGCACTTTTCTTTGCATAGTTTCGATCCAGGCTGCCTAACGCTTTACTGAGATCCCCTTTTTTGCCACAACTCTAACAGTCTTGTCTGCAACACTAATCCAGGTCAGATGAGTTATGTGTGTGTTTTTATGACCCTGCCTCTGTTGACTCACTGCTTCCTCTAAACGCCTCAACTTTCGCTTTCCATTTCCTTTAAACCACCTGTCCCCTGTGTGTCCAGCAGGTGTCGCCACTGCGCTTCATAAACTTGAGCAAACAGTCTAAAAAGACACCGGGTCACATCACTGTTTTTAAGGGCAGTTACTAAACGTGCAGAGAGCCTATTGGTCTGGTTTGACAGCTTCAGTTATTCATGATAAAAATAGAAATTCCCACTTCTCCTTCAGTTTGTCGGAAACGGGGGCCGAGGCGGGATGGTGGCATGATGCAACCGGGATACAAGACCTCAGTAGTGTCTCTGTGTGGGAGGAGCTGGGTCTAACTAGCCTGGATTATAGTGGTGATGTTTATATATATATATATGTGTGTGTGTGTGTGATGGGATTGAATGGAGGCTCATTATAGTTGCAGGTTGTTTGCAAATGCATTGAAGCTCAGTAAAAACAAGAACATTACATAATGGAAAAAATGCGCTCATTTTGTGGTCATGATCCCCCTCTGGCCGCAATATGCTGAATATTTAAATAAGTACATTTATCTTTATATGGCTGCAGTACCTGCTGTCCCCATGGGGGGGTTTCCCTCTGGTGGCGTGACGTCGAGGGGATTTCCACACCTGAAGCAGCCAATCAGAGCGAGGCAGCTGCGGAAATAACAAAACTGGAGCAGGAGAGGCTTCACACATCACTCAACACATGGCTTCAAGACTGTCTAACAGCTTCACACGGGTCGGCACTGACACTCAAAGCTTGTTTGCACCCTGACTATACTTTACAGGAGGTGGGTTTAAACACAGAGAAAAGTTTTGACCCAGAGAAGAAGACAGATACCGGAAATAACCAGGTTTAGGAAGAAGTCAACGACACGACGGCGGAGTTCATGGTCTTAAAGGACTCCTCCTCCCGTGTGATGAAAGACATGGACATATTCAACGGTACCTCTGGTAGGTTTTAAGTGTTAATACTCGTGTGTGTGTGTCAGTGTGTGTGTGTGTGTGTGTGTGTGTGTGTGTGTGTGTGTTTGTGTGTTTGTTTGTGTTTGTCGGAAAGACAGAGCTGACATCATCAGCAGGCATGTGATTTCTCAGAGCAGAGCAGCCAACACCCATCCCCGGCTCTCACTCCCACTTTTACTGCTCCGCTGTGTGTGCAGGTTTATTAACATCCAGCTGCTGAGCTTTGTTCTAACAATGCTTTCTGTTTGTCCTGCAGAGCCAGGAGGACCGTCAGACTTTGGTGAGTGTAAACACATTTGCTTTTGTTGTGCCTTTTGCTAAACGGATGTGTGTGTGTGTGTGTCTTAAAGTCATGCATGTGTGGGATGTGAGAAGTTACTGTGACCGTGTGACCTGATGCTCTCTCATGCAGAAGTTAGACCGTCATCGGCGTTTCTGCTTCCTCATGTTGTTTTGTGATGTCTTTTACAATGCCCGTGGTCAGTAAGGTGCAAAACTAAATGTTTCAGACAACAAATCAACAAAATTAAAGACACAGTAACATGTCAGAAAAATTGAAAGCACTATTAAGCATCTTGTGTGTTCATTTTAACATATTTATTGCATGTAAGCCCCAACTTATCTTCATTAACGTACCTATTTTGCTTGCTTAATATACACAGCCGAAGTCTATAAAATGTGGATAATAGTGAAAATTGCAGTTAAAAATACCAAAAACCTAAGTTTTGCATATTTAAATTGCCTGCACTTATTGCTACTGTACTGCAAAACCAAGAGATATTGAGTTTACTGTGATAAAAATGCAGGAAAACCAGCAAATATTCACATTTAAGAAGCTAGACCAAGCAGTTTTCCTTTTGAAAATGTACTTAAAAGATTACTAGATCTTTAAAACTATTGCTAATCAATTGTCTGCTCATTGCCTGGTAAATTAATTGCCTCTGCTTCGATAATGTTTGACACACCACGCCTGCAGGAAACTCTAGTTTCTGTTTTGGGTTGGCAAATGTCACACCTCAACCGCAGGTATAAAATCAGTGTGCACTATTTATTCTAATGGTGATAAATTTAACAGTAGTGTCTCGGCAACTGTCACTGCTAAAACGAACAAACAGCCTAAAGAAGAAGAGGATGTACTTTATTAATCCCTGAGGGGAAATTGAATTATTGTTCACTCACACATGCACAAACAGGACTGTGTGGAGTACACAACACTTTTAAGTTGAGAATGTACAAACAAAAAGGCAAAATCTTGTTATTCACAGCTGTAAAACCGAGCAGAAACACATCTATACAGATACAAAAATAAATACATCAATAAAAAAGCATTTCCCCCAGGAAATTGTTTCCTCGTCTTGTGATGAGTTTAGTTATTATACGCTGGCTTCAGTGCATTTATTTAATGTATGGCATTCACTGTGTGAGATAGTGGCTCTTTAACTTCAGGGTTAATGTTATATTCCATAGAAATCTATGGGTTATTATGACATTAGTAAGAGCTGCCTTGTTTCTGATTTAAGGAATCTGTGGAAATTCCTGAAATAGATGTATGTTAAATTATGGGTGCTCCGAGAAACTTAAAGGAGCAGTGTGTCAGATTTAGTGGCATCTAGTGGTGAGGAGAGTAAATTGCAGCCAGCTGAAACTTCTCCAATGAGCCAAGTGTGAACTCCAGTTGTGGGTTCTTCAGTGCTTCTTCGGGAGCTGGAGTATCCGCAGAGGTTTCCTCCTCTCCAAAACAAACGGATCTGTTTAATATTTAAAAAATCAGCGTTTGTTAGCATACATCACGTCGGCCACCTGAGACACTATCAATGTGTTTGTTTCAGACCTCATTGAGGAAATCATCACAGAGGAGCGGTCCCGTGCCTTCCCTGGAATTTCTACCCCTCCTGACCTCATTGAGGAAATCATCACGGAGGAGCGGATACGTACCTCCCTCCCCGGACCTCCTCCTCCTCCTGCTGACCTCTGCCAGCCGCACAACCAGAACCAAAGGATGCTCCAACCGAGCTCCTCACCGCCACCTCAGCCCGTGCTGGTGGCGAGAGGCACTGCACATCAGGTGAGTGGTTGCAAGAACATCTTTGGGTGTGCTCTTACCGTGTTATGTTTTTGTGCCAGTGTAGTCATTCATGTTGTTTTGGTTTATCTGTCTCTCTGTCCCACCTGGTTCCTGCCTCACTTAGAGGTTTCTTACATTTCCAAGAATGAGTGTTGGCAACACCTAGAGAGCCGGTGTGGTGGTAAATGTGGTGGCAGCAGGCTGTGACGAACGCAGATCAAGTTTAATTATACAAAACAGATTATTTTCTAAATGATTATTGTATATATGTGTTAGAGAAGATTTAATCTTAAAACATAGCTTTGATGACCAAGTAATCGTTTAAGTACATTTTAAAAAATTAAATCACTTGGTCCAGCTTTTCAAATGTGGATATTTGCTGGGGTTTTTTTTGTTTTTTTTTCCCACAGTAAATTCAATATAGCTTGATTTTGAAGTACAGTAACAATTAGATCAGGGAATTTAAATCATCTTCGTTTTATTTTAAAGTTATTAAAAAAATCAACCATTTTACTCTGTGCTACAAGCCTGTTGCATTTTTCAGCTGGTCTTCATCAACGTTAAACTACATTAATGCTAAAATAAACCATTAATCTGTTAATCCAAATCGGACAAACCAGTATTCAACAGTTTAGATAAAATTTAATTTTTTAAGTTAATGTTTGAGCAAAAAAATGAGGAAGATGTGAAGATCAGCTGTTTTTTTTGTTTTGTATCATTTTTATTTTATCGTCAACGATTGTTTATTCGGGGAGCTTTAACTGATAATTAAATTCTTTTACAGCAATGCCTTGAATGTAACGTTTGTCTGGGTTAGAAGGATGTATAATATGCTACCAAATCCAAAAAAAGGATTAAAAAAAAAAGTCCATCAAAACAAATGGCAAGTGGTGGTGTCTGGCTAGAATGATAAACAACAATAAAAACAGTAAAATTCTGAAAAGGTTTAATAAAAAGAATAAATAAAAAATGAACACATCTGCCAGGAAGGAAGGATATGTAACAACCACAGCAATAAAAACAATAATGCTGTCAGTATTTAAATGTCTTTTATTGCAGTAGATGAGCATTTTAAAGATGTTATTCTGACATTTTTGAGTCTCAGTGATTAATCCAAGCAAATATCAGCAGATTAATCAACAAAAACAACTGCTAGTTTCGCAAATCTTGACCCACACAGGCTCAGACAGATGTTTACACGTCAGTTATGTTGCCTTTGTGTCGCCACTGAAAGCTTGTTAATAATAAACTCAACAACAGAGGAAGCTTCAGACTTCTCCTCTGTTAGGGTGAAAAAGAAGTGACTGCAGCTGTAGTGAAGAGTGATTGTTTCTAAGATTGAATGTTTGTTGAAGAGACTGCAGTGTAGTGCATGTGTAGCCGGGTGTCTTGTTGTTGTGCGAAGCCAGGCAGCCAGGCAGGTCAGGCTTTTACCATAAAGCACGTGGTTTACAGATCAGAAGTGTTGTAATGGGATAAGCCTGCAGTGACGCTGTGGCCTTCACAAAGAGGTGATAATGAACGGCACAAGAAAACATCTGAAAGTCTTTATTCGCATGTGAGATTGATTAACTTCTGCGTGTGTGTTTTGTTTGTGTTTGTGTGTGTGAATAGTTTGTTAAAAAGGCTTTGTGGCCTGTGTTCGAGGCTGACACACCTCCCCAGCATGCTCTTCTGTGGGAGGAGGCTCAGAGAGAGAGAGAGGAAGGGGGAGGAGGAAGAGGAGGAGGGGCTGGAAAAACTGTAATCTGACTCCTGCTTTCAGTTTGCAGTCTGTTCTGCTAACAAGCCAAACCCACCGAGAGGTGAAAGGTCACATTCTTCTCCCCGCGCCGCTTCTCCTATTGGTCGATCCACGTCAGGTTGAGCTGACTTCCTATTTCCTGTTTGCAGGCTCACTCTGCCAGGCTTTTGTTTAGCTCTAGGGTTTTAAGGCCAACACGCTCTCTGACAACAGACGCCTGTGGCTCGACGAGATATTGTGAAACATGATCTCATGCAGAGGCATCACCCAGATCTCCTCAGCAACCATTTGTTGAGCTCGCAGCCTGATTTCTGCTTCACAGGTGACAAAGACGTCTTTACTTCCCTGCAGGTTTGATTATTCATCTGTCTTTACACTGATGCTTCAGATAGTCTTAAGACGTCAGTGTGTTTGCTTTGTTGTACTTTGTCTTCCTCTAACATCATGTTGAAGCCAACGGAGGCCTAACTGATCAGAAACTGACAAGTGAAGATAGAGTGCAGACAGAAAGTAAAACAGCAGCGAGAGAGATATATTCAACAAGAGTTTAAGTGGGAACGGAAAAGCATGGTGGTCTGTGGTATTACTGGTAACTTTGATATCAAAATGCAGGAGGAGGAGGAGTCAAGTGAGCGCATGGTTAACTCTATGTACTGGCAGAAAGGACATGTATGAAGGAAAAAACATGCAGTGACTCAGTTTTGCTGCCTGGTTTCACTGCAGCTGTGATGCAGAATGCTTCACTGGCAGTGTCATCTGCCATAATGGATAACAGACATCTGGTCCTCAGTTTGATTCTTTGAAAACATGCCTGTTTATTTGTCTCTGATTATAAGATGCTGTTTTCTAATGCTAAGGGAAAGGCTGTAGGGTCATGAGATGATAAACGGGAGTGGAAAAGGAGTAAAAAATTAATCCTGTTACACATGTTTTTATTGTATTATACTACAACTTTTGCATTTATTTTATATTATTATAGATATCTAGATACTCATAAGCAAAATTTTGACTGATTCTTTTTTGAATCCAGGAGAAGTGCTGGTGTTTTTAAGGTCCAGTGTGTACGATTTAGAGGGATATATTAGCAGAAATGGAATATAACACAATAAGTGTTTTTTCTGTAGTGTATAATCACCTGAAAATAAGAATCGGCATGTTTTTGTTACCATCGAATGAGTTGTTTATATCTACATCAGGAGCGGGGTCCTTGTTTATGAAGAATGCTATGTAGCATTGCCATGTTTCTACAGTAGCCCAGAAAGGACAAACCAAACAATGGCTCTAGATAAGGCCATTTGTGTTTTCACGTCAGCCCCTCCGTGGAGAGCCAAACAGTGTCCAAAAAACACAGATTATTAAGGTGGAACTGCTTTAATCAGTGTTTTTATTGGGTTAAATCACAGAGTCTGTTTGTTTTGGAGAGGAAGAGACCTCTGTGGGTACTTCATCTCCCCCTAAAATCCTCCTGAACGTCTAAATCTTAAGTTATCAGAGAAAAGAAGTGAGCACAAATTAACAGGTGCTGGGCGAGCTGCCCGTCTATGACGAGCCAAGCGGTGTCTGAGAAACACTGATTTGTAAAGTGAAACTGCTTTAATCAGTGTCTTAACCGGTTTAAATCACAGGGTCTGTTTGTTTTGGAGAGGGAAAGGCGTCTGCAGATAATTCTGATAAAAACCCCCTGATAATGAACAAGGAGGGAAATCCAAGCGGAAGTTCATGCTGGGCACATAGGAGAAGTTTAAATCCTGACTGCTAGGTGCCACTAAATCCTACACACTGCGCCTTTAAAGCCACTCTGGGCTATTTATCGTCTTATCTCGCCACATTTTGATCATCCTGGTGTCATTATCTCAGATCACAAGATGAATATCTGCTGTCTGTCCATAACGTAATGACAGATGAGAAAGAACGTATTTGTATTGTTTAATTTGTTGCTTTTTGTGCTGCCGTCTTGACAAGATTTCCAACCTCAGTGAGTGTTACATGGTTAGATAAAAGTTAAATAATGTTGTTAATAATATTGTGTCATTGTTTTTTCATCACAGCCAGTCTGCACCTTCCCTCAGCCCCAGCAGCCGTTGTGCACGCCCAGAGAGATGGCTCATCCTTCCCGGGGACCAATCACACCAGCTGGTTCCTCTCGCCGTGGTCGGGGCTCCTTGTGTTCGCCTATCTCTAAGAGCTCCAGTGGTGTTTCCTCTCAGAACCGCGTAGGCGACTCCGACATGCTGGAGCGGATTCTGAATAAGCCCAAGCTGGTGATAGTGGAGGAGCCCAAGGAGAGAGGCATGAGGTTTCGCTATGAGTGTGAGGGACGCTCGGCTGGCAGCATCTTGGGAGCATCCAGCACTGAAACCAACAAGAGTCAGCCTGCGATCGAGGTAGACACTTGTCACACAAGTGTGTGTGTGTATGTGTGTGTGTGTGTGTGTGTGTGTGTGTCCTTGAAGGGGGTTTACTAGCTGTCAGTGACAGTTGAAGTCGATATTGTTTGTTGTGTATACTTGAACCCCCTGTGTCGACTGGTGCAGACGGGTGGAGCTGGAAGGATGTGGGTTGTTGGAGTCAATTAGAAAGTCCCCACAAATCCCAGATCGAGTGTGGTCAAAGACAGGCGGTTTGTCACATGGCCCCCACTCTAACAAACACACCCACACTTCATCTTCACCTTCTGCAAACACCAGGCGTGTGGGGGTTTTAGCAGTGAAGAATGTGTGTGTGAAAATGAAATAATCTAAAATTATTGGTTAACATTTAGGTTAACGTGGCAGGTTTAATTTTTTTTTCGGCATCCTTCATTCTTCTTGATGAAATCGGTATGTCAAGCACCACCATTAGCTTTACAAAAAATCAGATGATAATCATAATATGATAATAGGATAAGGCTTTCCAAAAGGGCCAGTTATCAGAGGTGGGACCAAGTCACTGTTTTGTGAGTCACAAGTAAGACTCAAGTCTTTGCAAGCAAGTCCCAAGTCAAGACAGGCTCACGTCCCACTCGGGACTTGGGTTTTGAATCATAAACAAGTCATTATGTGCTCTTCACTGCTTCATGAAACCATTTTAACAACACGGTGATAATATATTAATTGACAAAAACCATGAATGCTTTTTAATATATATATTATTTATAAAGCAAGTTTGTTGGAAATTTCTGTCTGAAACTTTCAACCCACATATTTAGCATACGGCAATTCATCTTTTGTTGGCCACCGCATAGTTTATATCCGCAGACGAAATGATCTTTGGTGTAATTTTTCCCAACTGGCGTTCAGTAATGTAATGTTAGTTCTTCACGGTTCTCTCCTCTTACTTGATTGGATGATGTCATACAGGTTCAAACAAAATGGATCTGGGGCATTCAGTGTCGACTTGCTGGGAATATATAGTGTGAATGTTAGTTAATTCAGGAAGTGAAACTATTTGTGGCACACTTTTTGAGTAATGTACTTTTTTAAACTTTGGTTTTTGAGGGAAGGTATCAAGTATTTTCAAGTTAAAAGGCTAAAGTCCAAGTGAAGTCACAAGTCACTTGTGATAAAGTCCAAAACGAGTTGCAAGTCTTTTTTGTTTTTGTCAAGTTGAGTCTAAAGTCATCAAAAATATGTGACTTGGGTCCACATCTCTGCCAGTTATAGCACACGGAAAAAAAGGTGGGGCGCTGTCAAATGCAGGAAAATGAGAACATTTAATATGCTATTTTAATATTTAGTTTGTCAAATTATCTCACTTCTCCGAGTTTTACAGCTCCCTTTCTTTTGTCTGAGTATAAGAAATTAATACATCACCATGTTGCAACACTTCCTGTGTAACAGTAAGTGTGTTTTCGGACGTGTGTGTGTGTGTGTGTGTGTGTGTGTGTGTTTGGTTGTTTTTGTGTCCCTGATTTTTCTGTCTTCTCCCTCCTTCTCAAATTCATCTTCCTCTTCTGTCTTTCAGATTCAAGGTCCCATTGACCATTTAAAGAAGGCCAAGGTCACCATTTCCTTGGTCACCAAAGACCCGCCGCACCGGCCTCACCCGCACTGCCTCGTGGGTAAGGACTGCCCCAACGGTTCAGGAATCTGCGTGGTGACGCTCAATCCTCACAGCAACCGACGTCACAGGTGGTCATCCCATATCTCATGTGTCTCTTCCCCAACACATAACTTCCTGTTAAACATTTTTTCTTTTATTCTAACTCTTAATATCATAAAATCTTTCTGGAATTTCCCAACACACAAAATGTCCTGACTAAACTTTTTTTTTTTTTTTTGTGGATTTGCAGCTTTGCTAATCTTGGTATCCAGTGTGTGAGGAGGAAAGAGCTGGATGTTTCACTCCAGAAGAGGAGAAACCAGAATATCGACCCCTTTCAAAGTAAGATGGATCCCAACACACACGCACTTAGTTAATACTGTCATCTTTCTACACATCCATATATTTAAATATAAATTTTCCCTGTCTGTTTAAATTCCTTGTGTCTGACTGATTTTTCCTCTCACCCCTCAGCTGGTCACTCAAAGGGCATCGAAGACATGGACATGAATTCTGTGCGTCTGTGCTTTCAGTGTGAGCTTGAATGGGAGGACGGCAGAAAGGACATTCTCAACCCAGTGGTGTCCAACCCCATCTATGACAAGAGTGAGGAACACACTCTTATAAATCTTGTAGCCAAGTGCACCAGCAGAACTTTTAATGTGTTTCCTAATTCTTGGGTGGGTTTTTTTTTCATGTTTTGTTTTTGTTCTTTTATCAGAGGCTACGACGACATCGCAGCTGAAGATCGGCCGCTTTAACCAGTACAGAGGTTCCTGCATCGGCAAGACGGAGATCTACATGTTGTGTGACAAGGTGCAGAAAGGTAAGTGTCTGTTGATGGTGTACAAAATACACACAGGGTGGACAAAACTGGGGTCACAGAGCAGAGTACATGGGACAAGCTTGGTTTTTTGATGATGCTGATGATGTGACTCTCTCTCTCTCTCTCTCTCTCTCTCTCTCTCTGTCTCTAAGCTCCCAAATTTTAGTGAACACCTATAAACTATAAAGAAAAAGTATTTTTCAATTGGAAATAAGGCATACCTCTGCAATCTGTGTTTTTTGAAGGCTAGGACCAAATTTGTAGAGCTTATGGCTAATGTTGAATTTTGATTTTGTGTCTTTCAGTCATTGTTTTAGCCACTATTTCTTTTATCATAGCGTTTTCTTGTTTTGAAGACACTGTCTTTTTTTTCTCTTGCTACATCATGTGATTTATTGGTGTAACATTAGCAGTGTGTATACAGCAGCCTTTGCACATCTGTACTGTGGCTTACCTTGGAAACTCGTTTGGTGTTTGCCGTACAGCAGAATTGGCACTCAACTTGGCTATATCGTAAAAAAAAAAAATTGTATTTACTTTGGGGTCTTGGGTTGAGAGGAAGAAAATGAACATGCTTAACAAATATTGGAGGGTAACTTCTGTATTTTTCAACCTGGACCCTATTTTTCCAATGTTTTTGTATCTAAATGACTAATGGAAACAACATTATGTGAAACTGGTGCAGTGTCGAGGGAGAACACTGCAGCTGGCAGCTGTGAGACAGGTTGCAGTGGAACCATTTGAGACATTTATGCACTTTCAGTTTATGTCCACTAAAAGTGTTTGTTTTTGCCACTGACTGGCTCAAATTATTCTATGTGTCTGACAACACTATGGAAAGGATCCCGTCACAGACAGACCTTTTTGTATAAGAGTAAGATCATTTTTGTTTAACCGTAAACGTACCCCAAATTGCTATCGGCAAACCCACCAGACTCCATTTAAAAAAAAACAGTAATTTAAACGTGTATAGAGCCAGCATGTTTTCATATCTGACTGGATGAAATAAGGGTTTATTTTAACCAAAACAGAGGTGGGGATTTTTTGAACAGTGGAAAGATAAACCAAGACAGGTTTGTAAGATTTATTTTGTTTCAATCAGCTTTTAATGAAGTTTGTTTTACAATATTAAAATTACTGCTTATTTAAATGGAGTCTGGTGGGTTTGGTGATAGCAAATGAGAGGCTGTTTCCGGTTAAACAAAAAGGATCTTACTCTTCAACAAGAAGACTTATCTGTAGGGATCCTTTTCATAATGTTGTCAGACACCCGTAACAATCTGAGCCTGTCTGTGACAAAAACAAGCTCTTTTACTATACGGTCACTGACAGTGCACAATTGACCATGAACACTGCATTACAGCCTGCTTTACGGCTGGAGGCTGCAGCAGTCTGTCAATACTGGAGATGTTTCAAAATCTCCATTAGTCACTCAGACACAAAACATGGGAAAATAGAACCTAAGTTTCCCTTTACGTATCATGAACTCAACTTAAAGCTAAGGAAGACACATAAAAGGGGTTGTCAAGTAATCGATAACCTCAGATGTTGAAATGTATTCTTACTGTTAAATTCAATGAATGTAGATGCAACACTTATGTATGGTTAGGATAAAAGCAGGCACACTGGACAACACTTGGACCTTTCAATCAAAAATGAAATTAGGATAAATATAATACTGTACTCTGAGGTGCTTTTGTATTTTTTCTTTATTAAAATGGCTCTTTGTGTTGTCACTGTTCCACAGACGACATAGAGATCATCTTCAGACGAGGGTCGTGGAAGGCAAACGGGGAGTTTGCCCAGACAGATGTGCACCGGCAGATTGCCATCGTGTTCAAGACTCCGCCCTACCAGGACCAGGACATCACAGAGGAGGTTGAGGTCAACGTGGTCCTGCGCCGCCTCTCAGACCAAATGGAGAGCGAGTCTGTTACCTTCACGTACCTGCCACACAACCCAGGTCAGTCAGCGCTGAACAGCAACGTTTCGTTTCCTTGAATGGAAGTTTACATCACATTATCCTAAACCCAGAAACAATAACAGCAGGTTGTTGACTCATTTCAGATCCATATGAGGTGAAGAGGAAGAGAAAGATCAAGTCAGACATCAGCTTCAGAGACAAACCCTGTGTGACAGGTGAGGCTCACACATCTTTCTTTTTTTTTTTTCACTCCTTTGTAGAGCCACTGTGGGGTAAACTGATTCAATGAGGCGAGTAGTCTTTGTGTCTGCCAGCCTGCTTGTCTGTATGGGCCTTTTCACAGCAAACAATTTAACATGTCACAGCAGGAGAAGCACAGGCCTTACTTGTAACATTAACAATTGCTGTGAAACTGTTGACAGGACAACTCCAGCTGCAAACATGATCTCCTATTGTGAAGTTTTGATCCATGGAGGTTTTATATTTGTAACATTTTCTCATGCTGAGAAAAGCTTTTTAAAAATCTGTGACGTCGTCACTGTGTTAAGTCCATGAGCTGAGCGGGAACTAGCTGCTAACACTACTGTGCTTTCCAGTAAACCTGAAAGCTAGAAACTTAGTTGGGTGTGTGAACGCCAGGCAAGCAATTCCATTGGACTGTGTTGGTGCCATCTTGGGGTCTGGTATTGAGTTATCGTCATACATCTGTGGGTGCCACACACTAAGGAAAGCGCCACTCACAATGTTCCATGTTACAAGAAATGAATTTAACTGTACAGTGAAGCGCATCTGTGCTCAGCTGTCAGTTTATTAGGTACACATCGCTAAAACTAATGCAGTCCAATATAACAGTCCTGCAATAACTCCTTCCTTTATGAACTTTATAATGTTCAGTTTTTGTTGAAACTTTTAGAGGTGTTGATTCAACTTTATGAACATCTGAGAATGTTGTTTGTGGTATGATGTGTGTATCATTTAGCCTTCTGTCACTGATAGACAAAAAAATTAATGTCATACAGTTCATCAGCACCACAAATTACTTCTTCCTCAATAATCATACATTTAAAGTACATACAGTATAAAGTTCATGAGGAAGGATTCATTGCAGTACTGTTGTATTAGTTTTAGCAAGGTGTACCTAATAAACTGACAGCTGAATGTTTGTTCCTGTATTAATAGGTTAACATCTTGTATGTTAAGTGGGGTTTGTTGTCATGCACATTCCCCAAAATCCCTAAAGTAAAGTCCTGTTCACACGGGATCTTAGAAATGACTCTCCCACGTCTGTTTCATGCGACACATTTGCACGGTAGAGGCAAAATCTGCATTTTCCTCAAATTTACTGATGTTATTCCTGTATATGATGCCCACAGTCATTTGTAACTCCACTCCATACAACACAGTAACACACCACAGCACTTCTAGCACCGTCAACAGTGTTAACCTCCTTTTTTTTCTTTTAAATGTAAGATAAACAAACAGAACTGATTCTGCCACATTATTTATCTCATCATATTTTGAGATCTCACTCTTCTTTTGATTTGAGCTGGCTCTGAAGGTGAGCAGGTCCCCATACTGTGTAGCGAGATGAGCCTCCTGCACCCATAATGCTGTCGAAACTTTGATTTATAATTGCCAGTGCAGCCTCCATAATTCTTGACCAAAAAGTGGCAGAAAAAATACGACCCCAAATCACATAGATGCTGATTTACACAATGTTATCATCTGACCTCTGTATTTGGCGAAATATGGTTGGTAATTTGTGGTAGAATTTTTACTTGATACAATACAGACATGGCAGATTTGCATGGGATTGAGATCACAGATGACTTCTGCAATTATTACATATTACCAGAGGTCCCTGGGTAATACTAGTCCTGAATAGCGCTTTATACTGTTATAATGCAGAAAAGTCTTGAATGTCTTTCAAGATTTGAATATCCACCTGGTAACAGACGTTGCATCATGTTTCTAACGGGTATTTATTTTCTCTGTTTCCCCTCCTGCAGCAGAAAGTGCTCTCCCAGCGGAGCAGCCCTTCCACTTCCCGCAGCCTCAAACCATAATGTCTCCAGACGAGAGGCTTTGTCCTCCCCAGCCTGGGGCCTCCACCTTAGGAGAAATGTGTTATAACGATCCCCAGGACTACAACGCCACTGATGTGGCCATCCTTAATCAGTTGCTAGAAATGCCTGGAGTACTGGACATGCTTTCCGACCCAAGCTTTGCCTTGCCCGTGCCCTCTGGCTTCGAGCAGGTGCCCGACGCCAACTCCACGTTCACAAACATGGACATGAACTTAAACCAGAACTTTGGCACGTACCCTCAGAACTTTTCCGTGTACAACGACGTGCAGTTCAACATGCTCGTGAACGAGAACCAGACTCTGCAGTCGGAGGCACAGGACAGCCACTCCAACATGGTTCAGGTGAAGACGGAAGAGGAGCTATGAGGAGGGGGGGTGAAAGTGCCCTCACACACTCTCTCTGTGTACACGAGAATAATTGGACATTATAGAAAATGCACTTACTTGCTTTCTTACAGAGAGTTCTCACCTAACTCTCTGCAAGAAAGACCTTGCTGGTCAAGGCTTTAGCAACCAGGAGCAGGTTAACATTCCTACATTAATGCTGCAGGCATTAAGTGTCAGAAGACGGTGATTTAAAAGAGCTTAAAAAGAAAAATCATCAGCGTCTATGTGTGGGAACAATAGAAACCCTTCCATGTGTTGAATGATTGATGACGTAAGACACTGTAATGCAGTGTTCATGGTCAACACCTGTTTTGTGATGTTAGTCTAAGATCTGTTTTCTTCCTGCTAGAGGTTGACGTAGTTGTAAAACACAAAGTCTTGAGCGCATCATTTTCAGATTTCACATTGTTCTTGTCTGTTATTACTCTTCTGTTGATGTTGCCGTCACACCCACCTCCCTCTTTACTATTTAATCTACTCAATGCAATAGAAACCAGGCCTGCTCTTATTTATAGCTCTGTTGTATCAGTTCCCATTGTTCTGCAGTTTCACTCTCATGCTAAACATTCAAATTTCCTCCCACAGCTTGTCACAAGTCTAACTCCGCCCCCCCCGGCTGTATCATCGTAGTGTCAGTATTTCAGAAAAGAAGCAATAAAATGTCAGTCTGTGTTATTTTTGTCTCGTCGTTACTTCCTCTGAAACTGACTTCTGCCTTTGTGGTGATTTGTCAGAAGACACAAAAGACAGTGGAGCAACAAAAGGGATGAGAACGCTTTAACATGACCTTCAGCCACCTGCCTACACACATTCCTAACCTGCTTGCTCACTCGTAAAAAACAATAAATCTTGGCAACAAAAACAAGTAGATGGTTTTATGCTTTTCACATCTGTCAGCTGTGTCATAAGACAATGTTGAATGACATGCTTGCTTCAAGAAATTTCGAAAGAAACGCTCAGGTGGGAGGTATCCTTTGTTGCTCATGGTTATCAGACACCTTTGATTTAGTGGTAGTGTCTTAACTTCTTCAGTGGCTGTCACATTTCACAGTAATAAGGCTGAACAAATCTGTTCCTGCTTCCAGTTTGTGGTTTCTGCTGAGTCTTTTGTAATGCTGCATGCTTACTGGGAAACTTTTAACATTACTTCAGGATTTTTCATAGATTGACACAGATTGGGAAATAAACACCACTGTTACACAACCGTCATTTCAAAATGTCCAGTATTTCTTCAGCCATCATCTACACTGAGTTTTTTTAGCTAATTTAGAGCATGTTTTCTTAAAGTTATAATTCAAATAATTTTCATTACATCAGACCTCATTTTTGACCCAATTAATGGTCGAATTTCTTTCAAAAGTAGCTGATCATGTGTTTATATTCTTAAATAATAATAATACATTTAGGGATATCCTCTCTACATAAAGTGTCTCTGTGGGGCTCTCAAGGTGACTGTCAACTTTTTCATAGCAGACTATACTATGACTTTTTCATAACATACTATGACTTTTTTCATGGCAGACTATACTATGACTTTTTCATAACATACTATACTATGACTTTTCATGGCAGACTATACTGACTTTTTCATGACATACTATACTATGACTTTTCATGGCAGACTATACTGACTTTTTCATGACATACTATACTATGACTTTTTCATAACATACTATACTATGACTTTTTCATAACATACTATACTATGACTTTTCATGGCAGACTATACTATGACTTTTTCATGACATACTATACTATGACTTTTCATAACAGACTATACTATGACTTTTTCATGACATACTATACTATGACTTTTTCATAACATACTATACTATGACTTTTTT